AGCACGGAAAGGGGAGGGGGCTCCCGGCAAGACCCCCCTCCCCGAGAACCGGGGATGCGCTGACGGTGGAGGGGCCCCCACCGGGCCGGCAGCGGCGAAGCTTTGGCCGGGCAAAGTGGGGGGCTCGTCGGAGGAGACGGCGGGAGGAGGAGGAGGAGGAGACGAAGGCCGGCCGGGCCCGCGGGCCGCTCACGCAGCCGCCGGGATGTTGCAGAATGTGAATCCCCAGAGCAAGTAGGTGCTGGCGCCGTGGGGACAGCGGGGACACGCGTGGTGGTGGCGGGGGTTAAAAAGGATTTTTATTTTTAGGAGGGGGAAATGGAGGTGTGAGGGGAGAAGGTGCGGCCTGGTGGAGGTGTGGGACCCTCAGAGCGTTGTTGTGTCACTGTGGGGGTCATCAGGTTGTGGTTGTGTCACCCTCAGGTTGTGACACGGATGTGGTGACCCCTAAAGCGTGGCAGTGTCACTGTGGGGTCCCCGTGCTGGGCCTGTGTCATCTCCAGGCTGTGACAGAGACATGGGGACCCCCAAATTGTGGCAGTGTCACTGTGGGGGTCTCCAGAGTGTGGCAGTGTCACTGTGGGGTCCCTGAGCTGGTTCTCTGTCACCCCCAGACTGTGATAGGGACATGGGGACCCCCAAAGTGTGGCTGTGCCACTGTGGGGGTCTCCAGATTATGGTTGTGTCTCCGTCAGAGTGTGACAGGGACATTGGGAACCCCCAAAGTGTGGCAGTGTCACTGTGGGGGTCCCCAGATTGTGATTGTGTCACCCCGAAACTGTGACAGGGACATGGGGACCCCCGAAGTGTGGCAGTGTCACTGTGGGGTGCCCGTGCTGGGCCTGTGTCATCTCCAGGCTGTGACAGGGACATTGGGAACCCCCAAATTGTGGCAGTGTCACTGTGGGGGTCCCCAGATTGTGATTGTATCACCCTCAGACTGTGACAGGGACATGGAGATCCCAAAGTGTGGCTGTGTCACTGTGGGGGTCCCCAAATTGTGGCAGTGTCACTGTGGGGGTCCCCAAAGTGTGGCTGTGTCACTGTGGGGTGCCCGTGCTGGGCCTGTGTCATCTCCAGGCTGTGACAGAGACATGGGGACCCCCAAATTGTGGCTGTGTCACTGTGGGGGTCTCCAGATTGTGGCAGTGTCACTGTGGGGTCCCTGAGCTGGTTCTCTGTCACCCCCAGACTGTGACAGGGACATGGGGACCCCCAAATTGTGGCAGTGTCACTGTGGGGTCCCTGAGCTGGGCCTGTGTCACCCCCAGGCTGTGACAGGGACATGGGGACCCCCAAATTGTGGCAGTGTCACTGTGGGATCCCCAAATTGTGGCTGTGTCACTGTGGGGGTCACCAGATTATGGTTGTGTCTCTGTCAGAGTGTGACAGGGACATTGGGAACCCCCAAAGCGTGGCTGTGTCACTGTGGGGGTCCCAAATTGTGGCTGTGTCACTGTGGGGTGCCCGTGCTGGGCCTGTGTCACCCCCAGACTGTGACAGGGACATGGGGACCCCCAAAGTGTGGCTGTGTCACTGTGGGGGTCCCAAACTGTGGCTGTGTCACTCTGGGGGTCCCCGGATTGTGATTGTGTCACCCCCAGACTGTGATAGGGACATGGGGACCCCCAAAGTGTGGCAGTGTCACTGTGGGGTCCCTGAGCTGGGCCTGTGTCACCCCCAAACTGTGACAGGGACATGGGGACCCCCAAAGTGTGGCTGTGTCACTGTGGGACCCCTGGATTGTGGCTGTGTCACTCTCAGGCTGTGACAGTGACACTGAGGACCCCAAAACTCAGGCTGTGTCACCCCCAGGCTCTGGCTGTGTCACCTTCAGGCTGTGACGGTGACATTGGGACCCCCAAAGTGTGGCTGTGTCACTGTGGGGGTTTCCAGGTTGTGGCAGTGTCACCCTCAGGCTGTGACAGGGATGTGGGGGTCCCCAAAGTGTGGCTGTGTCACTCTCAGGCTGTGACAGTGACACTGGGGACCCCAAAACTCAGGCTGTGTCACCCCCAGGCTCTGGCTGTGTTACCCCCAGGCTCTGGCTGTGTCACCTTCAGGCTGTGACGGTGACATTGGGACCCCCAAACCGCGGCTGTGTCATTGTGGGACCCCCTGACTCTGGTAGTGTCACCCCCAAATTGTGGCAGTGTCACCCCCAGGCTGTGCTGGTGACATTGGGACCCCCAAAGCGTGACAGTGTCACTCTGGGACCTCCAAACTGTGACAGTGTCACCCCCAAACTCAGGCTGTGTCACCCCCAAACTGTGACAGTGTCACCCCCAAACTCAGGCTGTGTCACCTTCAGGCTGTGACGGTGACATTGGGACCCCCAAACCGTGGCTGTGTCACTGTGGGACCCCCAAATTCTGGCTGTATCAGCCCCAGACTCGGGCTGTGTCACTTGGGGACCCCCAAATGGTGACATTGTCATCCCCAGGCTGTGACAGTGACATTGGGACCCCCAAACCCTGGCTGTGTCACCCCCAAACTTGGGCTGTGTCACCTTCAGACTGTGACGGTGACATTGGCACCCCCAAACCGTGGCTGTGTTACTGTGGGACCCCCAAATTTGGGCTGTCACCCCCAAACCGTGACAGTGTCACCCCCAAATTCGGGCTGTGTCACCCCCAAACTGTGACAGTGTCACCTCCAGGCTGTCCTGGTGACATCGGGACCTCCAAATTGTGATAATGTCACTATGGGACCCCCAAACTGTGGCTGTGTCACCCCCAAACTGTGACAGTGTCACCCCCAAACTGGGGCTGTGTCACCCCCAAACTGTGACAGTGTCATCCCCAAATTCAAGCTGTGTCACCCCCAAACCGTCACAGTGTCACCCCCAAATTCAGGCTGTGTCACCCCCAAACTGTTACAGTGTCACCCCCAAATTCGGGCTGTGTCACCCCCAAACTGTGACAGTGTCATCCCCAAATTCGGGCTGTGTCACCTCCAAATTCAGGCTGTGTCACCTCCAAATTCAGGCTGTGTCACCCCCAAACTGTTACAGTGTCACCCCCAAACTGGGGCTGTGTCACCCCCAAACTGTGACAGTGTCACCCCCAAATTTGGGTTGTGTCACCCCCAAACTGTGACAGTGTCACCCCCAAACTGGGGCTGTGTCACCCCCAAACTGTGACAGTGTCACCCCCAAATTTGGGCTGTGTCACCCCCAAACTGGGGCTGTGTCACCCCCAAACTGTGACAGTGTCACCCCCAAATTCAGGCTGTGTCACCCCCAAACTGTGACTGTGTCACCCCCAAATTCAGGCTGTGTCACCCCCAAACTGTGACAGTGTCACCCCCAAACTGTGACAGTGTCACCCCCAAATTTGGGCTGTGTCACCCCCAAACTGTGACAGTGTCACCCCCAAACTGTGACAGTGTCACCCCCAAATTCGGGCTGTGTCACCCCGAAACTGTGACAGTGTCACCCCCAAATTCAGGCTGTGTCACCCCCAAATTTGGGTTGTGTCACCCCCAAACTGTGACAGTGTCACCCCCAAACTCGGGCTGTGTCACCCCCAAACCGTGACAGTGTCACCCCCAAATTCAGGCTGTGTCACCCCGAAACTGTGACAGTGTCACCCCCAAATTTGGGCTGTGTCACCCCCAAACTGGGGCTGTGTCACCCCCAAACTGTGACAGTGTCACCCCCAAATTTGGGCTGTGTCACCCCGAAACTGTGACAGTGTCACCCCCAAATTCAGGCTGTGTCACCCCCAAATTTGGGTTGTGTCACCCCCAAACTGTGACAGTGTCACCCCCAAAC